ACCCAGATCCAGGGAACAGGGAGCTGTACTGTCGTCCCTTTGTGCTCCCATCTCCGCCAGGTCTCCTTTCGTCACTATAGATTTGAAATTACTTCTAGGAGTTGACCAGTGGGGATCAGGGAGGTGGAGACAAAGTGGGCAATTACCTGGGATTAACGGCCCAAATAACTATGGTTCTCCAAGACTATTTCCAAGTGAGCAATTCAAACTTACCTCAGTGAGTTATTTTAGGGGTTTGGAGCAGAGTCCATAGGCATTTTGTAACTACCATGCAAACTGTTCTGAATCATTAAAAAATGTAAATATACAAGGAGAAAGGAGAAGAATAACATGAAAGGAAGCACTTATAGAAAATAATAGTGTTGCTATTTTGTCAACACATGAGATATTTGGTATTTAAAAGATCAATATTAAGATCATTAAATGACCTACCAAAACATTTCATTCTATTTGTTTTTCTGTCAAATAGTTAAGAGAAGGGAGAAGAAAACCCCACCCTTTCACCTCTATTCTCTTTACGATACCTGAAAGCACTGATAGAAAAGGGGGCTCTTTTTATTAAGCGTTGCTTTCCAGTGGTGAGATTCATTTGCTTCATTTCTGTATACAAAGACAAGATATCACATAAGTCAGAGAAATATACTGTGCTATAAAGTGTCATGACGATTAGTAGCCACATTACATGAGGATCAGGAATCATGGAGCTCTCGGAGTAACTGGCAAGCATGGTGTATTACGGGCGCTTTACCATACAACTGTGAATCATGTTACGAAGGTGCTATTCAGGGGAGCACAGCTTCACTGCGTGATGATCTAAGCTCGCACCTAAAGATGCTAATTCATTCACTGCTCAGTGTGCAGGGACTATTTCTTTCCGCGTCACACTTACGGTAAACCAATACTAAAACAGAGGAGTTCCAAACTTAGGAAGGTTAAGAGTACTAGAAAGAGAGAAATTATACCACTAAATCTTCCGGCTGGTTTCAGTGGAAAAATGTACTTTGATTTCCCCTAAAAGTTTGGAAATGATAAAGGAGATACATTATCATTATAAAACTTGCACAACCGACAGAATTTCAAAAATTTGTATATTTCTTGCCTTTTCTTTAAATTTGTATGCCTAAACTCAGAAAACAGAAAACCTGGATAGACTCAATACATACTCATATAAAATAAGATTCTAGTGATAAAAGACCAATTAACTAAAGGTATGTATCATTTCCTTCTTTCATCTGTGCCTCAGCCATGGCAATATTTACCAGGCCTACTTCTTCATTTCCAAAAAGTTAAGAAGTGAGTCTTAACGTAGGATATTAGCCAGTTTACCTTGTCTAACTGACATCAATCCACTCCAGAATGAAATGGTTCACCCACTCAGGCCAATGTTAGTATAAAGTGTGTTCTGCCCTTTCTGTATTCTCCTAGATTCTACACACACTGGCATTGCCACCGTTCAGGGAAAAAGCAGATCATCTCAACAATGGCAAGACCTGAGATGCCATCTTCTTGAACCATGTCATTTGGAGTTTACCTTTATGGAGAGAACTTGAGTTGCCTAGTGGCAGAATGGCTGGGGCTAATAACTTTGCAAATTGTTCATGTGAAATGCTACTACTACAGCTTTGAAACAAGATCATCATACAGAGGGTTGGGAAACATGAATTACTAGTATATGTGACTCCTATTCTTTGATAAAGATATTTTCTAACAAACTGCATTTTCTGACAGGAAGCTTCCAAAAAGTATAGTGTACTAAAAAGTATTCTTTCAGAAACATGTGGCTTGCTGATTATCTACCAAGCGCATTAAAAAATTTCAT